TGTTTTCTACACAATTTATTCAAGCCATTTCTACACAATTTATTCACAGTAAAATATCACTTTACAGAGAGTAGTGCAGCTGCTTCAGAAAACAATTTTAACAGTTCCTCAAAATCTTAAACAGTGTTACCACATGATCCTGCAATTCCACTCTTAGGTATATAAGCAAGAGAAGTGAAAGCACGTGTCCACACAAAATTTTCAGAGCAACATTATTCATACCAGTGAAAGAGAGGAAAAAATCCAAATATCTACAACTCATGGAGGAGTAAAATGGGTATATCCATATGATGAAATATTAATCAGCAATGAAAAGTAACAAAACACTCATATATGCTATAATATGGATAAGCCTTGAAACAATTATGCTAAGTGAAAGCAGCTGGACACATAAAGGGTTATATATGATTCCATTAATATGAAATACCCAGAACAGACAAATCCACAGCAACTGAAACTATTAGTAATTACTAGAATTGAGAAGGCTTGGAGATGTGGGGAGTGACTGCTAACAGGTATGGGAGGTTTCTTTCTGGGATGAGGAATATGCTCTGGAATTAATAGTGATAGTCAATCACACTTTTGTGAATATACTAAAAGCCATTTACTTTAAAAGAGTAAAAATTTTAGTATGTGAATCACATCTTAATAAGACAGTTTTCAGATTATCATGACCTATAAGGCCCTGCTCTCTCCCTGACCTCACCTCAAGTCTCTTTGCCATCATTTACTACTCAAACCCACTGGCTTACTGTCAGTTCCTGAAACATGTCCAGGGTTCTCTTGTCTCCAGGCCCTTATGTATGTACTACCCTCTGCCTCAAACAAAGTCTTACCCAATCTCTTGACATGACTAATCACTCTACATCCTTTAAGTTTCAGTTCAAATGCCAAATCCACAGTGAATCCCTCACCACTCTAAAATAGGACAGCCACTCCCATTATTTTCTCTTAGCATCTTTTTTCATTTATAACACATTTACATAGCTTTATGTAAAGGTACTTGGTTTATCTGTCAGGTCTACCACACTGTAAGCATCATTATAAGGAACCCATCATCAGTATTGCTCACCATTAAAATCCCTGCCTAACATAATTCCTAGCACTTAATAAAAGGTAACATTCTTGTTTTCCTAATATGCCATGTCCTCATATGTACTGCTCCCTCTGTTGATACCACCTTTGCCACCTCTACTCTCTCTGACCCTACCCTCACCCTTTCATACCCTTACTCATCTCTCAGCTTAGAAATCCTTCCTTTCTTGAACACCTCCTACAAGGGAAGGAACACTCTCCTTCCCTTCCTCACCTGTTCATCCTGGCTACAGTACCGCCATAGCAATTATCTTCTTATTCTTGGATTTTTTAGTAGGGAGGAAGTCTGGAGGGAATGTTTCTGTGTTGCATTTGTGTCTAGTACTTTAGAAAACTTTAAAGCATTTTTGTGACCCTAGAACTTAACACAATGCTAGGCACACCAATTCTACTAATTTTGGTATTAATGGCTAACATTTATCAAGTATTTAATATGTGCTTGACACTCTTATTCTATAGAAAGGGTATGAATGAATATTAAATGATACATTTCTTGGACACTAACCTCAAAGAGATCAGTCTGACAGGGACAGAAGACAAGTAGGTATATAGGATAACGCAGAATAAACACCACAAGGCCAAATCAGTTGCCCTGTATTGTCCCTAAGCCTTCAAAGTATGCATTTCTCTGAGACCATAAATGTCAGGTCTCTTCAAACTCACTTAGAAATTTCCTTCGATTACTTGCAACCCACTTCCTGTACTTGCTGCCTAAAAGCAATTTCTAGGATGTCACCACAAGCAATATTAAACTGCCACAGTTTCCTGCTGTGTGTCTACATTATCAGTTAAATTACTTCATATTAACCACATTCCAGTCCACCAAGATCACTCAAACACTAAATAAGATTTAAACATACCTGTCAAAGACTGTCAGTTGTCACTGTTCCTTTGATCCCCCCTAGATAAATGTCTGCTCTGGCTTAAGTTTCCTCAAAATCTTAGTTTAGGGTGCTACCTCTGTACTGATGACCCTGTCTTTCCTTTGTCAATTAGATATCTGGTTTAATATTCCTCATTAAAATAAACAAGCTATACATACACTCTAGTAAAAGTAAGGAATGTTCCGCCCTGACCAGGACAATAGGGTTTAAAATTATGAAATATAAAAAAATTCTTCTTCCTCAAAGGTTCAAATAGCAAATTGTTCTTTTAACTCCATGTACATTCAAATCAGAGAACTCAGAGTCTTGGTAAGGATCTGCATTAAGAACCAAAGCTGGGGCTAGGGTTGTGGCTCAGCAGTGGAGCACTCGCCTCAAATGTGTGAGATACTGGGTTTGATCCTCAGCACCACATAAAAGTAAATAAAATAAAGGTATTTAAAAAAAAAAAAAAAAGATCCAAGGCTGCTTCTCTGTACTTGAAAACGATGAAATGTGTTTATCACCACTTTCAAACTGTATAACTTCTATTTTGGGGACTTCCTCCCCCCTTTTCCAAGTCTCCAGTTTAAGTCCCAATCTCTTCTGAGAAGCCTGTCAACTGTTTTTTTTTTTTTTTTTCCCACAAAATTCATTTGGTTATGCATTTCTTAAACACTTAAATGTATTTCATAAACTCTTCCTAAACAACCAGGTTCCAGTCACTGAGTTTGACACGGGGAACTCTCAAGCAGTTTGTGTCTGGCTTAGATGAGACACACACAAGGAACTAGATTTGGCACTATGACAGTGTTAAATGCAAGAAGCCACAGAAAGGCAGGTGAGGGGCATGCAGCCCAGGCCTGGAGTAGAGATACAGATGGGTACTCGGGTAATGGGGAATTGGCATCAAGGCAAGTTTCCTAGGGATGATACCTAATTTTAAGCATTATAGACTCCCATTCTCTCATTTGAAAAATGTGGTTAATAAAAAATACCATTAGACAGTGGTGGGGATTTGATGAAATGGTTCATGTTAAGCTTACCATGGTGTCTGACACAGAGCTTGTGCTGATCAAGTCTGATCAAGCACTAAAACTTAACGTGTGTGCCTAGCATCTCACATGCTTTAAGCACTGACTATATAACAGACACCAGCTTCACAATTATACAAAGCATTGTGTTTAATCAACTTTTATTTAATAAGGGCAACAATGTTAAGTCCTACTCTGCACATTGACAGCCTAATTCCTTGATCATTGAAATTTTCTTCTCCATTACCTGAAACATACCTTTCTCTAACATTTCTGGCATAAAATAGACCACATGTTTAGTCCTTTGATAAGGTGTATAAGAAAATTAACAATTACCAAGTTGTTAACATGGGCCTGGCATTCGAGTTAATACTACATTTATTGTTCACAATGATCCTGCAACCTAGACAAAGTTGATTCCCTTGTTCCCAGGGAAACACAAGTTGCTAGGGGTACTCTGTGCAAAGTTTCATATTAGCATGAAAAAGCTGCAATTTGAACCCAGATCTGGGTCCATATTGTCCTTGTAATGCCACAGGGCATTAGAGATAAACAAGAAAAAACACAGGCAGCCATTGTGTTCTACTGCTTGGGGGGCCTCAGAGTGTTCTGTCTGTCCCCTTCCCATTGTCCTGTACAAGGGAGCCTGCACATTTAGCTTCCCACACACACACACACACACACAAAAGTAAATACCTAAAGTCTGTTCTACCCTGCCAGGATGCAATGACATGTAGTAGTCAAAGCTCTATTTTTTCCAACTAGGGCAGCACCTAAGTAGATGCTTTCCTCACCATTTGTCCATCCTTATTCCTTGCTGTAGGCGGAAGTTGCATAATCAACAGTCACTATAAATCACAACTACTTTTAATAACTTCTCTTTTCATATTCTTTCAGTCTCACCACAAATTAATGTACTTCCCAAGCCTAAGTTTTTACCACAGAGCAGTCTAGCTTTAAGATCAATAAGGCTATTAGTCTTCATACTAATTTCACGCTTAATACAATTTCATGCCTTAGTAAATTCTCTTGCCCAAATGCTCAGATGGTGCAGTGACAGGTTCCACAAAACATACTTGAAAAATATATTTGTCAACATGCCACTGTTGAGAGCAAGAGAGACCTAAGAACCAGTCATCAGTACTTCTGCTTGTTGGATTTTAATGCTAGTTCTGACACTTGCTGCCTCATGTCAGGCAAGTTTCTGAACTTTTCTGTAACAAGAAAGGTAAGCATCCTCATGCATACTCTGAGACTCCAAGGTGCTCTTGAAAAGTGTTTTAAGTGCTATTGAATGAAGTTTACAACTCTTATTTAGAAACAGGAACTAAACTTGGAGTGTCTTAATCCTAGTACTTCACAAACAACGTTTTTTTAACCTCCCCATCCTCTCAAGCTCTTGTTCAGGGCATGCTTCTAACTTTTTTCCTCATTTCCACAAAAATTAACAGTATGCTCATCTAATGATTCCATGTTATCATTTAAAAAAACAACAACAAAAAAAAAAAACTTTTGTTTCATTTAGCAAATGTATCAGGGCTGCTGTGGCATGTATTAAACATTTTGTAAACAAAAAGCCTGACCACTCAAGGGACTGCAAAGCTGGGCAAGGGTCACACTGCATGGACATCACCTGGATATGATATGCAACATTTATGCAACATTTGAATAATTATTAGATTTTTGCCCTTGAGGCCCTTCACTTCCAAACATCCCTATTAAAGTTCTCAATATACTAAATAAACACATTCCACAGACTTTCCTATAAGAGTTTAAAGTGTCCTGTGAAAGCTATTTTACAGAAAAGCATATGCTGTCAACTTTGTTATTAAATGCCCTTAAACAATTCTATTAGTCACAGAGTAGAAGTGAACATTTGTTAGTGATTAGAGATAAAGCATCTCACATTCTGGGGCTGAGGAAGGGAGAGGCCAGAAGAGAACTTGGCTGGGAGGGGAGATAGAGTCCAAAGCAACACACCCAAATTGGACCATATAAAAGTTGCACTTTCCAAAGTCAACTTTGTCTAGAAGAAGGGCAACAATGTTTCAATGGGTTCTGAAGTTAGATGGATCAACAATTTCCCCAGAAAACTAAGCCCCCATTGGGGACTCCAGGTGGATGAATGAGTGAAGGAATGTCAGATTGGATTACAGGGCCTTTCCAACATTATCAAGATCAGGTGCTCAGTTACAACACAGAGGTAGGTATCTTTCTTCATAGCCTTTGGCCCCTGCTGTGTGGAGACTTTCGAGATAAAGAGGGTGAAACAGGAGGAGAGAGAAGGGCCTCCCCCACCCCACGCCATCCAGACCTTCAATCCACTAGGGGCCCCTCCCTTTAAGAAGCTCACACGACTTCTGGGGGGGCCGCAGGCCTCAAGCAGCCAAGCGGCAACCTCTCCCGGACCTGCCAACTCTCGGGGGCGCCCCAAACACACCCATTTGGGGACTTACTTCCGGAGATTTTCCGCTCGCCCTCCCAACACTAGCCTGACCATTTTCAGGGGCCCTCTGTAAACCCGCGGAGGGGGCCACCTCAACCGTAATCTCAGTCGTTCCCGCCCTCAGGTGAGGAGGGGACACCTGACCACCCGCGCCCCTCCACCCCGCGTACACCCCGCCCCCGCGCCTCAGAGCATCGCCATGGCAACCGTCCCCCTCCCCGCGTGACGCCGGCACGCGGAGCGCCCCTCGGGTCCGGGCAACAAGTCCCCGCTCGGCCCGAGGCCTGCAGCCCTTGCCCGGCCTCGCCGCCCCGCGCCCGGCTCGGCTCCGCCCGGCCGCACTCACTTGATCCTGGAGCCCATGGTCCCGGGGCCTCCTCATGGGCCCGCGGGCCCCGCTCGGCGCTTCGCTGCCCGCCCGCCCGCGGCCGACCGGCCTCCCTCTGGCGCTCTCCCCGCCCCTTCCTCCCTTCCCTCAGGCTGAGGCCCGCCCGCTTGAGGCTCGCTCCCTCGCCGTCGCCGCCGCCTCCCGGGGTTAATGTACTCGCGCCAGCCCAGCGAACGCCATGGTCGCCGGCGCGCGTGCCCGGCGCGCGCCGCCCCCTCCGCCTCTCATACCGCCGCCCTCTCCCGCCCGCGCCGCCGCCGCCGCCGCCGCCGCCGCCGCCCGTGGCTGCTGGGAAGTGTAGTCCGCCCTGGGGGGGGCGGGGCCGCGGGCCGGGAACCTCGCATCCGTCCGCGCGTCTCCCGGGGCTCGTCCCCGCGCACACTCTGGTTTTCCGGTGCAGGCTCCGTGGCTCTGCAGCTCTGCCCTTCTCCAGAAACCTCCTCCTACAGAACCATGAGACTCTGATCCTATCGTGGGGACCCCCGAGGCCACCCGAAAGACCTTCATCCAGGCCTCCCCTGTGGAGTCCTTTCACCCAGTAGCTTTGACGTAGAGATAATGTCCCCCACGCAGGCCTCATGAAAACACAAGTTTTCCCTTTGAAACGCCCATACCTTCCAGTAAATTCCTTCCAGAACCTCACACCATCCACTTCTCCCAAATGATCCTCGAGGAAGGCCTCTTCCTCTTTTCTTAGACCTTTAAGGAGACTGACTCCACACACCCACAGGAAAACCAACTGTGGACATCACAGGACCCATAAGGTGGCCAAGCTCTGCCCTACCCTTGAGGACCTCTGCTTCTTTTATCAGTCATTGTGAGGGCTCCAATACTGAAACTTCATGTGACCCTAACAGCCCCTGACAGATTCACTCAAGGCAAATAAAGGTGATTGAGAGCCACATCAGCAACCTGCTACTACCTCTGCTTCTCCTTTGATCCACTTCATCCTGACGAGGCCTAGAAGGATCACAAAGGAAGCAATGAGGATAACTATCATTAGACAACTCTTCAGCTACCATTTATGAGGGGGTCAGTGAATGCTCTCTTGGAACTAGGCCTGGTAGGTGCCAGTCCTCACAATGTTCCTGAGAGTTTGTCCTCTCTACAAACAAAGGTGAAATAACTAGCAGTTGGTGAAGCCAAGATTAACATTCAGGCCAAACAATTTTAGGCACATGTGACAGACAGTCATACTTAAGGATGACACCTTTGGCCACAAGTCAGAAGATACTATAGTCTCCTGGGGTCACTATCTTATTAGGCTTCTCTTTTCTTCACCTTTCTTTTCTTTTTTCTTATTCCCCCCCCCCCCAAAAATTTCTGAAATGCCATTTATCCCTACTGCTGTGTTACCTCATAAGTTCATGGCATGTCTCCTCGCCCTACTCCCATCCCATAGTCGCTACAGAAATTTGTCCTAGGCCCCCAGCCAGGCAGGGAGAAAAGAAAGCAAGAATGTAAAAAGTAGAAGAGACTTCTCCTTTTGGAGTTAACTTCTGGATAAAGATAATTTTTGTCTTTCACCTATGCCTTGGGGTGTTGAAGGCAAAGGGTGAATTTTTTTGAATTAAAAAAAAAAAGTGAAAATGTTCAAACTGCCATTTTGAATTCAAAGTTTTTTGCACCCAGACACCAACACCAACGTATAAACACCCCCAGGAGCAAAGCTCTGCTAGACAGGCAGGGGCTCTGTGGTGTTTATTCACCTTGTTTCCTATGAACCCACTCCAAGGAACAGTTGTTATCAAGATCTTCCCTGGAATGAGCAGCCAGTTCAAAAGCTCTGAACCGGAGACTATAAATAAAACAAAGTTACTTGGTGGAGGGCAAAGAGCTGGCTGCTTTTCAAAGGAGGTTGTAGCCATCCTGGCCACAAAAATGTCTCTGTGTGTGTGTGTGTGTGTGTGTGTGTGTGTGTTTGGGAGGAGGAGGCAGAAGGTGGGGGTTATGTGTCTGCCCAGGTGGCCTCTGAGACAGCAGGGTGGTCTCGGGAGAGAGCACAGACTGGGATCTAGTCTGTCTTCTAATGCTGGCTGCAGTACTGACTAGCAGAGTGATTTTAAGCAAATGATTAGACAATTGTCTGCTTCCTTTTCCTCCTCTGTAAAATGGGTTCAAAGGATGGTGAGAAGCTCACATCATAAGACAGAGAGAATATAATATAGGTGCTCAGAGTGCAGGCTGTGGAATCAAATTGCCTGTGTTCAAATTTCACCTCTCCCTCTTACTACATATATGACTTTGGGCAAGTTATTCACTCTCTCTTGGCCTGAGGTGGTTTGTCGGTAAAATGGAAATGATGATGATAATAGGCCTATTTTACTGAGTTGACATGGGAATTAAGTAAGTTAATGACATTTTTAAAGTAGTGGCAGGAGGGCTGGGGATGTGGCTCAAGCGGTAGCGTGCTTTCCTGGCATGCGTGCAGCCCGGGTTCGATCCTTAGCACCACATACAAACAAAGATTTTTGTGTCCGCCGAAAACTAAAAAAATAAATAAATAAATATTAAAAATCTCTCTCTCTTAAAAAAAATTTAAAAAAATAAAGTAGTGGCAGCATACAGCAAACACTCAAAAATTGATGGCAACCGGGCTGGAGTTGTGGCTCAGTGGTAAAGGGCTTGCCTAGCACGTGTGAGGTATTGGGTTCCATCCCCAGCACCACATTAAAAAAACCAAATAAACAAAATAAAGGTATTGTGTCCATTGACAACTAAAAAAAATTTTAAAAATTGATGGCAACTATTATATACAAAGCTTTTAGCACAGTTTGACTATTATTATTATTATTATTATTATTATTATTATTTGTTGTTGTTGTTGTTGTTTGCATTGCTAGAAATCAAATCCAGGACCTCTCACTTGTAAGAGCTCTATAATGAACTATACCAGTAACACTGACATCTATTATTAATGGTAATAAGCATAATAAAATATAATTCTGTGCTTGGGATCTAGGAGATTTGAGTTCCTAACCCAACTCTATTGTTTACATTCTGTGTCATTTAAAATTCAATTGAATTATAAAAGATAGAAGACTGAAATAAAAGTGGCCAAACAAAGTAGAAGTTCATTTCTCTTTCACATAAGCATTCTAGAGCTGTAATGACAATTCCATAATTATCAGAGACCCAGAATTCGGCATTATTGCTTTCCTATCCTACAAATGCAGCTTCCCCTTCATGATCCAGGATGGCTGCTTGAACTCTATTGCTCTAATCTGCAATCTGAGCAGCAGGAAGAAAAAAGAACATGTCCCACCCCAACCTCTGACCTCGAAGTATACTTCCCAGAAGTTGCTCACACCACTTCCCTGTTCATCCTACTAGTCAGAACTTAGTCATGCAGCCACATTTCACTAGAAAATATGGTCTTTATTCCAGATAATCATGTGCACAGCTGAAGGGAGAGGTGGCATTTCCAGGAAAAAAAAGAAGAAGACAGATATTGCAAGACAGCCAGCTGTCTCAGTCATGCTTGGCTCTGTGACCTAGGGCAGGACACTACATGTCTCTTGGCCTCAGTTTCCTCATAATCAAAGTAAGAGAATCAGACCAGATTGTTTCTCTCCAAAGTCCTTCAAATTCTAAAATCCCATAATTCAATGACTCATCTTTTTTGTTAGTCCTTTAAACCTACGTAAATCTGATGTCAAACAAATAAAAGGAGACCTCTGTGCCAAGTACATGGTATAATCAATTGTTGGAACTGAAGACTTCTGGTGAAAAGGGGGTTTAGGAATTTGGCCTTTCTTGATTGATGTTAAAATAGACCAAGCTGGGCTGGGGTTGTAGCTCAGTGGTAGAGCTCTTGCCTTGCACGCGTGAGGCCCTGGGTTTGATCCCCAGCACCACATAAAAATAAACAAATAAAAGCAAAGATATTGTGTCCATCTACAATTTTTTAAAAAATTAGTCCAAGAAGATTAAACAGGAAAAAAAAATGTCCCACAGAGTGTATGACACCACCTCATCTGACAGTTTGATGCTCCTTAGTTTCCAAGCTTATCTTCCCATCTGGGTTTCCTACTTAGGATTGAGGGGGCTGTGTTAAAAAGAGAGGACAGCACCCCCAGACAGTTCTGATGCCCCCTAATTATTCAGTATAAAGTGGGAGAACACATGATCTGGGCCAGGATCAGTGATCTGTTGTTCCTAATCCACTAAATTGTCATCATATTCTTTTTTTTTTTTTTAAGTTGAGGTGTAGTTCCTATGCCATAAAATTCACTACTTTAATGTGTGCATTTCAGTGGTTTTTACTATAGTCTCATCACTGCTACCTAATTCCAAAATAGTTTCATCATGGCAAAGAGAAACCCTGCACCTATTAGCAGTTGCTCACCTTTCCTCCTATCTCCCCAAT